GTGTGTGTGTGTGTGTGTGTGTGTGTGTGTGTGTTTGCACTCATGCATGTTTTTTCATGAAGTGGACAATTTTTAGCTGTCTGAACTTTGTTTTAAGGATCTCTACATAGTACATGCAGATTTCAAATGATGTTACCTCATTTAGAATACAACTAATAATCCCATAATTACCAACTTTTATTCACATTTGGCTTTGTATAGAAAGACTCTTATTCCCTTTCTGCATTTTTCATTTTGTTAGGTAAAAAATTTGTTAACCATACATCCAGAGGATAGAGTACCAGTGAAGAGTGTGACAATCCGCCGTATTCCAAGGTAACTTTGGTACCTGGAGCTCTATGTATGCTATTGCTGCACCTTGAATTTTTGGTGCATGTGATTTGTATTCCCCTCGCATGGACGTAATCATACAATCTTCTGTATATGAGCGTACTATATTGAAACTCACACTGTTGGAATTATGGTTCTTATTTATAGTGATAATTACATGGCCCAATAACTACATGGCTCAAGAACAAGGATACTTGAGATTTTTTGCATATAATATGAGTTTTAGCCTATTCTAATCCTTTCACACCTGTGCACCTTTCTTTGAACAATCAGCAAACATCACATAATATCGTTTTTTTCCTTCATTCTCCAAAGAATGAGTAAATAAGTACATTTTGATTTATCAACTCCTTTCATCAATGACACAAGCTTTGTGACTATCTTTTGAGGAAATCTTCGAGTAAATTTCTTCTTCTATTAATTTATACAAGCTGTCCTTTTCAACTTGTATTAGGGTTGCAGAAACTATGCCTTTGTACGACATCCTGAACGAATTCCAAAAGGGCCACAGCCACATGGCTGTAGTAGTTAGACAATCCACTAAAATGATGACCCCCCCACCCCCTACCCAGTCACCAGCCGAAGATAGTAAGTTATTTAAACTAATCGACATTATTCTAGGCACGTGCAAAAATTCTAAATAAATCCCATGTCAATACATAGTTAAGGATGTGAGGGTCGATATTGACGGCGAGAAGAACCCGCTGGACAAGAGTGTGAAGACCAAAAGGTCACTTCATAAATGGAAGAGCTTCCCAAACAATGGGAGCAAATCCTTCAAGGGAGGCACGCCGAGGAGCAAGAAATGGACAAAGAACATGTATTCGGACATCTTGCAGATAGATGGGAGCCCGTTGCCGAAGCTTCCGGAAGAAGAAGAGGCGGTTGGGGTTATTACTATGGAAGATGTCATTGAAGAGCTTCTGCAGGTGAAGTTCATTTATGTTTTTGTCTTACGATTTTTTTTTTTTTTTTTTTTTTTT